CGCTGTTGAATTTTGTCAAATGCCCTCTCTGTGTCAATTGAGATAATCATGTGGTTTTTGTTTTTGGTTCTGTTGATGTGGTGAATTATGTTTATAGACTTGTGTATGTTGAACCAGCCTTGCATCCCCTGGCTGAATCCTACTTGATCATGATGGATAAGTTTCTGATGTGCTGTTGCAATCAGTTTGCCAGTATTTTATTGAAGATTTTTGCATCTATGTTCATCATGGATATTGACCTGATGTTTTCTTTTCTTGTTGAGTCTGTGCTGGGTTTTGGTATCAGGATGATGTTGGTCTCGTAAAATGATTTGAGAAGGATTCCCTCTTTTTGGATCATTTGGAATAGTTTCAGAAGGAATGGTACCAGCTCCTCTTTATGTGTCTGGTAGAATTTGTGAACACATTCGGACCTGGGCTTTTTTTGTGTGGTAGGCTCTTAATTGCTACCTCGACTTCAGACCTTGTTATTGGTCTATTCATAGTTTCAGCTTCCTCCTGGTTTAGGCTTGGGAGGACATAGGTGTCTGGGAATTTATCCATTTCTTCCAGGTTTACTAGTTCATGTGCATAGAGTTGTTTGTAATATTCTCTGATGATGGTTTGAATTTCTGTGGAATCTGTGGTGATTTCCCCTTTATCTTTTTTTATTGCATCGATTTGGTTATTCTCTTTTTTTTTTTTTTCAGTCTGGCTAGTGGTCTGTCTATTTTGCTGATTTTTTCAAAAAACCAGCTCTTGGATTTATTGATTTTTTTGAAGGGTTTTTCCTGTCTCTATCTCCTTCAGTTCTGCTCTGATCTTAATTATTTCTTGTCTTCTGCTAGGTTTTGAGTTTTTTTGATCTTGCTCCTCTAGCTGTTTCAATTTTGACGATAGGGTGTCAATTTTGGATCTCTCCACTCTTCTCATGTGGGCAGTTATTGCTATATATTTTCCTCTTGGGACTGCTTTAAATGTGTCCTAGAGATTTGTATGTTGTGTTTTGGTTCTTGTTGGTTTCGAAGAACTTCTTTATTTCTGCCTTCATTTCATTGTTTATCCAATCAACATTCAAGAGCCAGTTGTTCAGTTTCCATGAAGCTGTGCGGTTCTGAGTTAGTTTCTAAATTCTGAGTTCTAACTTGATTGCACTATGGTCTGAGAGACTGTTTGTTATGATTTCAGTTGTTTTTCATTTGCTGAGGAGTGCTTTACTTCCAATTATGTGGTCAATTTTAGAGTAGGTGTGATGTGGTGCTGAGAAGAATGTTTATTCTGTGAATTTGGGGTGGAGAGTTCTATAAATGTCTATCAGGTTTGCTTGTTCCAGGTCTGAGTTCAAGCCCTGGATATCCTTGTTAATTTTCTGTCTGGTTGATCTGTCTAATACTGACAGTGGAGTGTTAAAGTCTCCCACTGTTATTGTGTGGGAGTCTAAGTCTCTTTGTAAATTGTTAAGAACTTGCCTTATGTATGTGGGTGCTCCTGTATTGGGTGGATATATATTTAGGATCATTAGCTCTTCTTGTTGTATCGATCCTTTTACCATTATGTAAGACCTTGCTTTTAAGTCTATTTTATCAGAGATGAGAACTGCAACTCCTGCTTTTTTTTGCTCTCCATTTGCTTGGTATATCTTCCTCCATCCCTTTATTTTGAGTTTGTTTTGCCCGTTAGTTGATGCAGATTCTTTATTTTGTTGATGCTCTTTAGCATTTGGTATGTTTTTGGAATGGCTGGTACCTGTTGTTCCTTTCTATGTGTAGTGCCTCTTTCAGGAGCTCTTGTAGAGCAGGCCTGGTGGTGACAAAATCTCTGAGTACTTGCTTGTTTGCAAAGGATTTTATTTTTCCTTCACTTATGAAGCTCAGTTTGGCTGGATATGAAATTGTGGGTTGAAAGTTCTTTTCTTTAAGGATGTTGAATATTGGCCCCCACTCTCTTCTGGCTTGTAGAGTTTCTGCCAAGAGATCTGCTGTGAGTCTGATGGGCTTCCCTTTGTGGGTGATCCGACCTTTCTCTCTGGCTGCCCTTAGTATTTTCTTCATTTCAACCCTGGTGAATCTGACAATTATGTGCCTTTGGGTTGCTCTTCTTGTGGAATATCTTTGTGGTGTTCTCTGTATTTCCTGGACTTGGATATTGGACTGCATTGCTAGGTTGGGGAAATTTTCCTGGATAATATCCTGAAGAGTATTTTCCAGCTTGGATTCATTCTTTTCGTCACATTCTGGTACACCTATCAAATGTAGATTAGGTCTCTCCATATTTCTTGGAGACTTTGTTCATTCCTTTTTGCACTTTTTTCTCTGATCTTGGTTTCTCATTTTATTTCATTGAGTTGATCTTCGACTTCTGATATTCTTTCTTCTGCTTGGTCAATTTGGCCGTTGAAACTTGTACATGCTTCATGAAGTTCTCGTGTTGCATTTTTCAGCTCTTTCAATTTATTCATATTACTCTCTTAAGTTGTCCATTCTTGTTATCATTTCCTCGAATCTTTTTTCAGATCTTTTTTCAAGGTTCTTAGTTTCTTTGCATTGATTTAGAACATGTTCTTTTAGCTCACAGAAGTTTCTCACTATCCACCTTCTGAAATCTAATTCCATCATTTCATCACATTCATTCTCTGTCCAGCTTTGTTCCCTTGCTGGTGAGGAGTTTTGGTCCTTTGTGGGAGGCGAGATGTTTTGGTTTCGGGTGTTTTCCTCCTTTTTGCACTGTTTTTTTCCCATCTTTTTGGGATTATCCACCTATCATCTGAGTAGTTGCTGACTTTTCGATTGGGTCTCTGAGTGGACGCCCAGATTGTTGATGATGAAGTAGTTATGTTACTTAGTTTTCCTTCTAACAGTCTAGCCCCTCTGCTGTACGAATGCTGAGGTCCATTCCAGGCCCTGCTTGTCTGGGGTACAGCTGTAGCAGCTGCGGAACAGTGAGGGATGCTACCAGTTTCTTTTTCTGCTATCTTTGTCCCAGAATGATGCCCACCAAATGTCAGTCTGATCAGTCCTTTCTGAGGTGACTCTTTGGATATGCAGGGGTCAGGGATCTGCTTGAGGAGACGGTCTGTACTTTATAGGGGCTCAAGTGCTGAGCTGTGAGCTCCGTTGATCATTCAGGGCTGTTAGGCAGGTGCGTTTAAATCTGCTGCAGCAGAACTTATAAAACCCCTTTTTTTCCTCAGATGCTCTGTCTCGGGGAGTTAGGGCTGTCTTTATGAGTATCCGTTGCACTGTCCTGCCCAGCTAGGAGGCAGTCTAGTCACTATTTGCCTGTGGAGGTTCCGCCCTGCTCCCACGGTGTCCATCCTGTTGCCATGGGCTCTGCCATGGGCTCCACCCTTTTGGCAGAGTCTCTCTGTTATGATGGGTTGCCTCAGCAATGGCAGGCTGTGTCAGCAATGTGAGAGTACCTCAGTAGGGGCAGACGCCCCTCCTCCACCAAGCTGCACCATCCTGGATTCAGCTGTGCCCACAATGAAACTGTCAACCCTGAGCATTTCAAATTGCCGTTTTGTTTGTCCCTGTGGGGGTGGGACCCGCCGAACCTGATCACCTGGCTCCCTGCCTCAGAGCTTTTTTTCTTTTCTTTTTTTTAAGTTGAACGGTTGACTCTCTCCCAGGTGTTTTAGTCGCCTGTTGATAAGGCACTGGGATCTGTGTGATTTCCCGTGCAGCAATCCACTGTGCCAGCTCAAAGGTCACTTCCCGGGAATCTCCTGGTCTGGCTCACTGTCCAAGTCCTGTTTAATCAGATGAATATGCTAATCTGCCCTCCCAAATCTCAGATTGCCGGTTTAACAGGGCACCCAGACCAGTGCATTTTGTGCAGAGTGCCGCTGCACTGTGGTGCCAGCCGAAACAGCTGCACCAGCTGAAAGGGCTGCGCTGGCGTCCCGTGTCTCTCCTACACCTGGGAATTTCCCCGTTCTGTGGGCAACAAAGATCTGTCTGGAAATGCGACTTGGACTCACCCTTTGCACCTTCACTGAGAGCTGCAATCCTGAGTTGCTCCTATCGCGCCATCTTCTTTTTCCCCCCCCAGAGGTCAGCCAGGCTGGTCTTTATGATCAATTCTTTGAAAAAGAAAGAGGTTGTAGCATATACAAACTTGAACATATAAAGACAGCAACACCATATGAGGTACAGACCTTTAAGTACTGTATTATATTGAGATTTAGGTTAATTTTTAAAAATCTTAAAGATACATTTGACTTTTTTCTCTTTTTTTATAACCATTTATTTTTTAGAGTATCACTAGAATAACAATCTTTGCTCTGATGCAAAAGCTCTAGACCCATTAAAAGATCTATGTTCGAGATTGAAAACTGGCAGCCTTTGAGTGAATTTCACTCTTAGATGTGTTTTCTTTGGCCTGCACAGTATTGGTCAAACAGAATATTTACAAACATGGATCAACATTTCACTCATAGCAACCACTGACGTTGAGTAGTGTCTACACCTTACGGTCAAGAAATGTGGTCTCCAGTTTGCCACAGTTCCCACTAGTCTCTATTATTTTCCCAAGAGTGAGGCCAAATGCTGGTTGTCATGTGCTTGTGCTTTTGCTTTTCTTATACATGGATCTCTCATTCACTTACAATACTTCTTGGGTTACAGTGGGAATGATATCAGACCAAATTTGAAAGATAAAAATGTCAGGCCAGGCATGGTGGCTTACACCTGTAATCCTAGCACTTTGGGAGGCTGAGGCGAGTGGATTGCCTGAGCTCAGGAGTTCAAGACAAGCCTGCAGAAACATGGTGAAAACCTGTCTCTACTAAAAATACGAAAATTAGCAGGGCGTGGCAGTGTGCACCTGTAATCCCAGCTACTTGGGAGGCTGAGACAGGAGAATTGCTTGAACTCAGAAGGCAGAGGTTGCAGTGAGCCCAGATAGCGCCATTGCACTCCAGCCTGGGTGACAGACTGAGACTTTGTCTTAAAAAGAAAAAAAAAGATAAAAATGTTAAAAACATCTACCTTATCACTTGTTAACATGTTTTTTTTTTTTAGTGTCTTCATTGGCTGCTCTGGCATGGAGCTGATATCACACACGTAACAACAAGAGGCTGGACAGCATCTCACATAGCTGCAATCAGGGGTCAGGATGCTTGTATACAGGTAATAATAACTTATTACTTTTTTCAGTAAGTTCAGTTACTTTAAGATAGTTCTGTCGTGCTATTGCTATTCTTCTAATTATTTGATCCAATAAATTTAGTTTTATGTTCTCAACAAGAGCTTATTGGATTCCACAACTCAGGTATTCTGATACTAAGTATCCACTTAAACAACTGGTATGAAACCAGAAATTCTTTTATCTTTGAAGCAGTTGACTATCTGGGTTGTTTTGAGAAATTTCACTGTCATGACCAGATTATCTCTTTTACAGCTTGCTGCTGTGGTCGGAATGTTTGTGTCCTCCAAAATAAATATGTTGAAATTAGAACCCTAAGGTGATGGTATTAAGAGGTGTGCCTTTTGGGAGGTTATTATGTCATGAGGGGTTTGCCCTCATAAATGGGATAAATGTCCTTATGAAGGAAACCTCAGAGAACTAGCTTGCTAGCCTCTTCCACCATGTGAGGACGCTGTGAAAAGGCACTATCTATGTAGAACGAGCCCTCACCAGACACAGAATCTGCCACTACCTTAATCTTAGACTTTCCAGCCTCCAGAACTATGAGAAATAAATTTCTGTTGTTTATATGCTCCCCAGTTTATGATACGTTGTTATAGCAGTCTGAACAGACTAAGACACTTGCCATGCCTAAAATTTCTTATGTAATATATTGCCTGGCCAAGGTGACACGTTAATATTTGGTGGGATCTGGTTTGTTAGAATAATTATATTTATTCAATGTATTAAAATAGACTGGAATTTGGAGGAATACAGAGTCACATAAGTAAACGTTGGTGTTAGTTCTCATGCTGCTATGAACAAATACCTGAGACTGGGTAATTTTTAAAGAAAAAAGGTTTAATTGATGCACAGTTCCACAAGGCTGGGAAGGCCTCAGAAAACTTAGAATCATGGTGGAAGGGGAAGCAAACACATCCTTCTTCACAGGGTAGCAGGAGAGAGAGAAGTGCTGAGCAAAGGGGGAAAAGCTTCTTATAAGGCCATCAGATCTGGAGAGAATGCAATCACTCCCATGATTCAATTATCTCCCACCGGGTCCCTCCCATGACCTGTGGAGCTTATGGGAACTACAATTCAAATGAGATTTGAGGTAGGGACACAGCCAATCCACATCACAGTCCTTGTCTGGAAGAATCCTGAGATTCTGTTTGAAGGGACAGGAGCTCTACTCAGTGAGTTACAAGACAATACAAAGCCAAGACTATGATTAAGGTTCTAATGAAAAAATATAGATTAGAAGAATTGTGTAATTTAGGAGGAGGTAGAAGGGTCATAAATGGAGGAAATCAAATATCATGTAAGCCCAAAAGAGTGGGTTGATTTTAAAGAGGTAAATAATGAGGAAGCATTATAAAGACAAGTAATATGTTAGGAGCACATAAAAATAAAGATTATCACTTATTGAACATTTATTGTGTGTCAGTCTCTCATGTATCAGTCTCTCATGTATGTATCAGTCTTTCTTCATTTCATTCAACACAAGCAGTTCTATGAGTTCCCTTTTTTATAGGTTACAAAACAGATTCAGAGTGTTAAGTATTTTGCTTAAGCACGTGACAGAGCCAGGATTTGTACCTAGACTCGTCCTATTAATCTCTATGCTATACTTCTGTAAGAAGCTCCTGACTTGGAAAATCATGATATGTTCAGGGGATATAACATTATAGGAGTTTGACTGAGTATAGATGATTTGTGGTGTGGACTGTTAAGAACTATGATTTGGTAGACTAGTTTTGTAAAGTTGCCTCAGAAATAGAATGAAGATTTTGGATTCATTTATATAGGAAAGAGAGTCCTTTCTCCTCTCCCCCCATCAACTCTGTGAATACCTGGAGAGAAAAGAGAGGTTTTGTTTTTGTTTTTGTTTTTTGAGACAGGGTCTTGCTCTGTTACCCTGGCTGGAGTGCAGTGCTGTGGTCATGACTCACTGTAGCATCAACCTCCTGGGCCCAAGCGATCCTTTCACCTCAGTCTCTCAAGTAGCTGAGACCACTGACATTCGCCACCATGCCTGGCTAATGTTGGTCGCTGGAGGGAAGGGGTCTTTCTATATTCTCTAGGCTTGTCTTGAACTCCTGGGCTCAAGTGATCCTTCTGCCTCGGCTTCCCAAAATGCTGGGATTACAAATATGTGCCCCTGCACTTGGCTGAGAGAGAGTTTTTATATACATTATATGTGTGTGTGTGTGTGTGAGACTATGTTGTATACATATTTATACATATACATAAAGATACAAAAACATCCACATGGACATTAACAGGGGAATGAGATAATGAAAACAGTATTTCAGTGAATTATTCTAGCAAAGTGTGTCCAGGATTACTAGGACAAAGGAAGAGTTTAAAGACAAGAAGATCAGTTAGAGATTTTTTTGCTGTAATCACAAACTAGAGAGGGTAAAATTAGGTGGTAGCAGAGGGAAAGAAAGAAAATGAGCCAAGACATCTTGCAAAGCAAACATTGACAGAGTATAGTGAAAATTCAAATTTTGAGTCAGAATAACAGATAATTGTGATGGAATGAGTAGGGAAATTGGAAAAGCAAGGAAGATTGGAAGGAAAGATGTTGAGCTTAATGTATCTGTAGGTCATCCGGTTAGACAAGGTCCAGGCAGTTGAAAAGGGGACTGGAGATAAAGATTACAGGAATAGTAAAGTATAAAGAAGAGTCTCAAAATCCTGGGATCAAGTGATCCTTCCACCTTGGCCTGCCAAAATGCCAGGATTACAGGCGTAAGCAACTGCTCCTGGCTGGGGCTAATAACTCTTTCAAGCCAATTACTCTGTATATGGTATAACCCATACATAGGAAGTGGGCCAATTGCAAATTCGTATAGAACCTCTTTAGATGTAGTTAGAAACTTCATTTGGAGGTTAGAACTTGTCATTTAATAATTAATTCTTTTATTGAGTTCAAAACCCTGTTAACAGAGGATTCTGCTTTTGAATTAGTGAAAGTTTAAATTTCAGTTTTATTAGGTTAGCACTGAAGAATTTAACTTAGTGGCTATTTATCTATGCTTGTGAAAGATGTGTCTTATAAATTATATGTATATGCTAAAGTCAAAATGGAAAATCAATATTGTAAATGTCATCTAAGCAATGTTAAAAAAGACCTCAAACATTTTCTTAGCATTAGCTAAGAATTTCTTATGGTTTGCCTGTGGCACATATGTAAGACCATACATAATAACTTAGCTATAGATTAATAAATTTCTTGCCTTTGTATAATCTGCATCCACATTTATGGTGTAACATCTATACTCATGTACAGTCATTCCTATTTCGCTATTTTAGGCTCTTCTAATGAATGGAGCAAATCTGACAGCCCAGGATGAACGGGGATGCACTCCTTTACATCTTGCTGCAACTCATGGACATTCTTTCACACTACAAATAATGCTCCGAAGTGGAGTGGTGAGTGATTCCACATGTTAACATGTGCTAATGTATGACATATAGATGGAATAGCATTTGGTAGTCTAGTTGTCTCTTCCTGACTTTTTAAATCTCTTATGTGACTTCGGGAAACTAATTTAATTTTTTGCTTTAGCTTTTCTATGTTTAAACATAGAAGCAATAATTCAGACAAATCTTCTCATCCCCCCTCCAAAACCAATTAGTATTACAAAGTACTTTAGAGGTTTTGGGTTCTTCATGCCAATTCAGAGTTTAATTGGTTAGATTACGAAGCTTCAAACAAATCTTAACCAGGTGATTGTAAATCTTTATGAATTTTTGTGTGTCTACCTATGTGTTTGTTTTGAAATTCTTATATACTGATTTAGAAAGTGATTTATTTCTTCAGAAATTTTGTTTATTGCAATATTTATTATGTAGTGGTTGTAAAAAAAAAATAACTTAGAAGAGAACTCCAAATATTGAAGACATTGTGGTGAGAGTTTGTGTTTCTATAGTTTGAGAAAGAGTGAAAACTTATTAAAAATTTTTGTTAACTCTGTTTATATTATCAATGATACTATTTGATAATTCAGTTTATCCCTTCCATTTTATTGGTCAGGAATCTGTGACTGGTTAGATGACAAGTTCCTTTTTAAAAACTATTTTATGTGACTCATTCTTTTGAAAAGGCTGTTTTATAAAATTTCACAAGTATTTTATTAGGTCATATATTCAAATTAGTGGTTGCAGTACATTTTTTTATTATATTAAGTGTTTGCCTTTTTGTATTAAGAACAGCCTCCAATTCTTATTTACAGAATTAAGCTGATAGGCTTAGTGTTTTCCCTACAAAATGGAGAAAAACTGAGTCCTTGTGAATGTTACCTCTAGGACCCCAGTGTGACCGATAAGAGAGAATGGAGACCTGTACATTATGCAGCTTTTCATGGGCGGCTTGGCTGCCTGCAACTTCTTGTTAAATGGGGTTGTAGCGTAGAAGATGTGGACCACAATGGAAACCTTCCAGGTATTTTAAATAAAGCAAATATTTTAGTTTTTCACTGATGTAAACTTTTAAATGGTTGATCTTGTTTAAGGAATTAAAACTGCTGGCTGGCATGGTGGCTGTAATCTCAGCACTTTGAGAAGCTGAGGCAGGAGGATCCCTTGGGGCCAGGAGTTTGAGACCAGCCTGGGCAACATAGTGAGACACTCTCTCTACAAGAAAAAAAAAAGTAAAAGAAAGAAAAAAGCTGGGTGTTGTGGTGTGCCTATAGTCCAACTTCTTGAGAGGCTAAAGTGGGAGGGTCACTTGAGCCCAGGGATTTGAGGCTACGATGATCTGTGATTACACAACTGGACTTCAGTGAGCCTTCAGTGGCAACAGAGTGAGACCCCATCTCTTAAACAAAAAAGACATTGAAACCAATTATTTTATTATTCCCTCACAAAACAAAGTAGTATATATGTTGCTATGAACATTTTTTAAATCTTATATCACACCCATCTTATGTAACTTTCATGTGATTGATTTTTTTCTGGAAACATATCAGCAAAAGAGAAATTAGCAAAATTAAACATAGATTTGCTCTCCCTACCAGCTTTTTCCTTCATCTGCTATCTATTGTTTTTATTTTTTAACTTCACCTCTTTTTGCCCTATAAACAACTTATTTATTTTAAAATTTTTTATTTTTTTTGAGACAGGGTCTTGCTCTGTTACCTAGGCTGGAGTGCAGTGGTGTGCTCTCAGCTCACTGCAACCTCCACCTCCCAGGTTCAAGTGATTCTTTTTTTTTTTTTTTTTTTTTTGAGATGGAGTCTTGTTCTGTCACCAGGCTAGAGTGCAGTGGTACAATCTTGGCTCACTGCAACCTCCATCTCCAGGGTTTAAGTGATTCTTCCGCCTCAGCCTCCCAAATAGCTAGGGCCACAGGCTCGTGCCACCACACTTGGCTAATTTTTAAATTATTTGTAGAGACGGGGTTTCACTCTGTTGGCCAGGATGGTCTCGATCTCTTGACCTCGTGATCTGCCCACCTCGGCCTCCCAAAGTGCTGGGATTACAGGTGTGAACCACTGTGCCCGGCCAGGTTCAAGTGATTCTTATGCCTGCCTCAGCCTCCTGAGTAGCTGGGTTTTAGGCACCTGCTGCCATGCCTGGCTGATTTTTATATTTTTAGTAGAGATGAAATATTTTATATTTCACCATGTTAGCTAGCCTGTTCTTGAACTTCTGGCCTCAGGAGATCTACCTGCCTTGGCTTCCCAAAGTGCTGGGATTACAGGTGGGAAATGCTGTCCCTGGCCCAACTTTTAATCTTTTAAACAGTACTGTATCAATGGAGGATACTAGTTCATTTGAGTTACTTTGCTACTTCAGTTGTCAAATCTACAGTAAAGTAGCCAGGGAGACCTAGGCTCTAACACTATCTTCTTGAAGAAGTGGTTTAGAAATTCAAAAGGATAGCTCACAGTGAGATCAGAGTGGAAATGATACTTGAATGTTAACTTAAAGAAGCAAACTTAAAGGGCAGAATAATATGAACATGCCTGATCAAATCACTTTGCTATTTAGAACCTCCCTGGATCCTTGTGGAACCTCTGATTCCTTGGCTTAGCATGCCGGACTTACATACTTTGGCTCCTACCTACCTGCATGGCCTCATCTTTCTATACCTTTACACTACAGTCTAGGATCATTTTGCTTTTTTCATCTTTCACTGTTCATTTAGTGAAGTCTTTTGGTATGAACTCTTAATTTTTGTGTATCTCAAAATTAGTTTATTTTGTTCTCTTTTTTTTTTTGAGGCGGAGTTTCGCTCTTGTTACCCAGGCTGGAGTGCAATGGCACGATCTTGGCTCACTGCAACCTCCGCCTCCTGGGTTCAGGCAATTCTCCTGCCTCAGCCTCCTGAGTAGCTGGGATTACAGGCATGCACCACCATGCCCAGCTAATTTTTTGTATTTTTAGTAGAGACAGGGTTTCACCTTGTTGACCAGGATGGTCTCAATCTCTTGACCTTGTGATCCACCCACCTTGACCTCCCTGTTCTCATTCTTTTTACTTTGTATTCTGTGCTTTTTAAAAATGTAAAATTTAAATTGAAGTACAGTGCATATTCATTTTGAATCAGGAAAGTGCCTGATTCAAATGTACAAGTCATTGAATTTTCACAGTTGAACACGTTTCTGTAACCATCATTTAGATGACGAGTAGAATATTACTATCACCCAGAAGTCTCCCTTATATCTCCTTTTCAGTTACTTTTATCCTCCAAAGTTAATTACTAACTACTAACATATAAATTAGTTTTTCACTTTTTGAACTCTGTGGAATAAAATAATACACGGGTGCGGTGGCTCACACCAGTAATCCCAGCACTTTGGGAGGCCGAGGTGAGTGGATCACTTGAGGTCAGGAGTTTGAGACCAGCCTGGCCAACATGGTGAAACCTCATTTCTACTAAAAATACAAAAACTGGCTGGGCATGGTCACACATGCCTATAATCCCAGATACTTGGGAGGCTGAGGTAGGAGAATCTCTTGAATCTGGGAGGTGGAATTTGCAGTGAGTTGAGATCACACCATTACATTCCAGCCTGGGCAACAGAGAATGATTCTGTCTCGAAAAACAAAATATTCTTTTGTGTTTGGCTTCTTTCACTTTTTCAGACTGCTTTCAGTTCCTCCATTTTTTCATTAACATGTGGTATTATTAGTTTTTTATTAGTTTTAGTCATTCCAATGGATGTATCTCATTGCAGTTTCAAATTTACATTTTTCCTGATGACTAAAGATGTCGAACATCATTTCATAGGTTTAATGGCTATTTGGTTATTTTCTTTTGTAAAGTACCAGTTCAGATCTTTTGCCTATTAGCTGTTGGAGTATGTCTTTTTCTTACTGAATTGTAGGAGTTCTTTATATATTCTAGATACAAGCCCTTTGTCAGTTATGTTTATTGCCAGTATCTTTTCATGCAAATACCTTTCTAGTCTTTCTACTCTATGTCTTGCTCTTTCATTCTCTATCTTTTGATAAATAGAGGTTTTAGTGTTTTTTTTTTTTTTTTTGAGACGGAGTTTCACTCTTGTTGCCCAGGCTGGAGTGCAATGGCGCGATCTCGGCTCACAGCAACCTCTGCCTCCTGGGTTCAGGCAATTCTCCTGCTTCAGCCTCCCGAGTAACTGGGATTACAGGCACGTGCCACCATGCCCAGCTAATTTTTTGTATTTTTAGTAGAGACGGGGTTTCACCATGTTGACCAGGATGGTCTTGATCTTTTGACCTCATGATCCACCTGCCTCGGCTTCCCAAAGTGCTGGGATTACAGGCTTGAGCCACTGCGCCCGGCTTAATTATTTTTTTTTTTGAGATGGAATCTTGCTTTGTTGCTCAGGCTGGAGTGCAGTGGCACAATCTTGGCTCACTGCAACCTCTGCCTCCTGGGTCCTGAGTAGCTGGGTTTACAGGCATGTGCCACCATACCTGGCTAATTTTTGTATTTTTAGTAGCAACAGTGTTTCACCATATTGGCCAGGCTGATCTTGAACTCCTGACTTTGTGATCCACCGACCTCAGTCTACCAAAGTGCTGGGATTATAGGCGTGAGCCACCACACCTGGCCAGAGGTTTTAATTTTAATGTAGTTCATTTTAATAATCTCTTCCTTTGTAGTTAGTGCTTTCTGTATCCTGTCGAAAAAAATCTTTCCTTACTCTTTGGTCATGAAGACATTCCTTTATGTTATCTTTTAGAAATTTTATCTTTTTTTTTTTTTTTTGAGACAGAGTCTTGCTCTGTCGCCAGGCAGAGTACAGTGGTGCGATCTTGGCTCACTGCAACCTCCGCCTCCTGGGTTTAAGCAATTCTCCTGCCTCAGCCTCCCAAGTAGCTGGGACTACAGGTGTACACCACCATGCCCAGCTAATTTTTGTATTTTTTTGGTAGAGACAGGGTTTCACCATGTTGGTCAGGATGGTCTCGATCTCTTAACCTCATCCTCGACCTCCCAAAGTGCTGGGATCACAGGCGTGAGCCACTGCGCCCGGCAGAAATTTTATTATCTTACTTTCACATTTATATTTCCAATCTTCCTAGAACTGACTTTTCTGTGTGTACAAGGTAGGGATTAGTTTTATTTTTGTATTGTCCATTATCAAATATACTTGATCACTTTTGTTAGTCTCTTGTTGTCTGGTCATTAAAAAATCCAATTGTTTCTTTAAACATGTATAATTGTTTTATTTGTAACCAGGTAGAGTATTTATAATATGGATGTTAAGAAAGAATGTGGCCTCAGGTCTAGACTGCTTGTGTTGAAATTACTCTCATAAAATTGTTTTTTATTGATAAATGTACATATTTTTGGTATACCTGTGATAATTTGATGCATTCATGTAATGTATGAAGATCAAATCAAGGGAACTGTGGTAGCCATCACCTTAAATATTTCTTTATGCTAGAAACATTTAAATTATTTATTTCTAGTTATTTTGAAATACACAATAGATTATGGTTAACTGTAATCACCCTACTGATCTTTTGTCTTTCTGTGCTTGACTTATTTTACTTAACATAATGACCTCTAATTCCATCCATCTTGTGACAGTGACAGGATTTTATTCATTTTCGTCTGAATGACATTTCATTGTGAATATACATTACATTTTCTTAATACATTCATTATTGATGTGCACTTAGATTGATTCCATATTTTAGCTATTGTGAATAGTTTATTAATAAACATGAGAGTGCAGCTATCTCTTTGATATATTGATTTTTTTTTTCTTGTGGATATATACCCAGTAGTGGAATTGACTTATAGTTTATTTAATATAAATATAGCTACTCTTGTTCTTTTTTGGCTTTTAGTTGCATGGAATATCTTTCCAATTCCTATGCTTTCAGTCTATGTGTATTTCTAGTTGAAGTGATTTTTTATAGGCAGTATATGTTGGGCCATGTTCCTTTATAATCCGTGCCTTTTAATTGGAGAGTTAAGTCCATGTACATTCAGTGTTG